AAACCAATCAAACAACGTACTACACAGTACAATCAGCCACTCTCGAAACAACGGACAGAGACAACAATACGCACTACCATGCATGCATTGAACAACCAAGACACTTAAAGACTAAAGAGATAGAAAACCTATTCAGTCCAAAGTTCTTGGAACCAAAGTCTAGATGATACTCTTCCGAGAATCACTCACTCAAAGTCCAGCGTTGTTGTCGTTCCGCAGCTCTCGAAGTTTCTCTTCCAGGAACCCTCGCCGAAGTTTCTCTTCCAGGAAACCTCCCGTCTTCAATAGGCCACTCTCCAAGCTTCAAACTTCTTCGCCGGAACACGTCGGCTTCACACACGCAGCTGTTGCCATGCGTCATCGCTCGATAGCGGTAAACACACACTCTTGCCTGTAGCTCGAGTCATCACCCCTCAGGTGGAAATCCTCTTCATCTCCTGCTTTGTCTCTACGGACAAAACCTTCGCCGACTACACGGCGGTATACCCTACGCGCTCTGGCGCAAACTTCCGTCTTCTCCTGATCTCTCATCTCGGCTGCTCGGTTAAATACCTTGCGCGCGACATTCCAGAAGGTTCTCGTCATTTCGTCGGCGCGATACGCAGCGAAGGCTGGGAAGAGGGCGAGATGGTTGGAATGCCCTCCGCGGCCGATGACTCAACTCGGTATGACCACGCCCCTTTCGTTCTCGAACTTTCGCGGGCTATCTCAGCCGCCGATGTGGGGTGGGGAGGTTCGTCGGCGAAGCCACGCTTCCAAGGGGAGAGCGCGCACCCGGGGAGCCTTGGATGTTTGTTTTCTTCTTTTTTTTTCTTTTGACCTCCCGGCGTCTCCCCCGCGCGTTACCGCAAGAATTTGGCGGCGCGCCCATTTTTAGCGCTCGTTCTGTGACAAACACCACGATGTGATATAATACAGAGTTACAAAATATTACAACGAAAACGTACGAGGTAACGCACTTAGAAATAATTAAATGAGAAGTAACTATGAGAGCACGATATGTTTGATTAGGTAGTCGTGGAAGGCTTTCGATTACTGATCGAAGGGATATTACCAGAGAGATCGTTTCAAAGTTTAATAGCATGTGGCAGCGCAAAACAACTATAGACGCACTTATCTTGACAAAGATGCGTTCGAAACAGTCCTGATTACGGAGCCACCTAGCCATTCGCAGTAGGGTTTTCAAAGGGGGGAATTGTGATCTGCTATTATGAATATATCAGTGAAGCAGACACAAAAGGAAGACGCGTCGGTGAACCTGAAGAGGGTGCAGCGAATGTTCGAGTTTTATTTTCGTTATACTAGACTTGCGCTCGCTATTTCCAGTAATAAAGCGGGCAGCAATGTTTTGAACGAGCTCTGAGTTAGTAAATAAATAATCTTGATGAGGGGACTGAATAGATGGCGCAAGTTTAACTGTGGGCGAATGAACGTTAGGTACGCCAACTTGCCATTGTTAGGTGGCGATTTACGCAGATTGCGGCAGTGTACCGAACCGTTTGTGAGGCTTTAGCAGAGATAGAAGTAGTGGGGGGGGGGGGGGGGAGTGCCATGGAAGATTGTGAGTTAGGTTTGTCTCTAGATATTTGAATGACTGAACACGAGATATGGCGAGCTGTTAATAACGTAGGGGAAATCCGAATTTCATTGTCTGCAAGTGAAAGAAATGAGTCTCTATTTCCAGAGTTCAATACCATCAACCATTTATTACACCACATATTTATAAAGTTAATGCAATTTTTTCAATGATGCGGTGATCATCGGGAGATTATATTTTGTATATAAATGATACAATCATCGGCGAATAGTCTTATACCTGAGTAAATATTATTGAGCAGGGCTAATATAAATAAGAAAGAGTAAAGGGCATGAACCACTGCCTTGTGGGACTCCAGATGTCGCATCAGCAAGGGGAGAAGCACAATTCTTAATGACGGTGAATTGTTGTCGAGATGGCAAAACGTTTTTAATCTAAGATAAGCTGGCATAGTCTAGTTCGATAGAATTTAACTTAGAAAACAACCGACAATGGGCCTACCGTTCAAAATCTTTCGAAATGTTAAGGAAAATGCTAACGGTTCGTAAATCATTATCCATGTTAAAGCGCAAATCAGTAATAAACTCGCGCAACTGCGTATCACATCACAGATGTTTGAGAAATCCATGCCGATTATTGAAAAAAAGAAACTATTAGTCTCCAGGTGGGTGTATAGATAAGTGATGCAATCATGAGCTCCAGAATTTTGCAGGAAATGCATGTTAAGGAAATGGGGTGGTAGATGTCGAGTTGCTTTTTTGTTTCCAGCTTTAAATACTGGAATAACCTTAGAACCTTACATTCTTTAGGTAGCTGGCCAGTCGACAATGATTGAGTAAATATTCTGCACAGTATTTCACTAGAAACATGTAAGGTATTTTTCACTATCTTAGCGTTTAGATTATCTACACCGGCAGATGTTGATAGTCTAAGGTTATTTATCAAGTATGCAATGTCATCCGCAGTGACTGTTATTGGTGCCATATATGGATAACCTGAATCTGGAACATAAGGCACATTTAGGTGATCTTCTTTCGTAAATACTGACGAGAAAAATTGTTGAACTCATATAAAATGTGCGCATCTGTTTATGGTGTGTTGTCATCATTGGTCAGCGTTGCCAGACTGCCGTCAGGTTTGGCGGATAAATTTGCCCCTAAAGCTGTGCCTTTCCCGTGAGGGCTCTAAGTCGTCCCCTGTGCATTTCACGAGTGCATGTGCGACGTCGGCCATTTAATGAGCGTGAATTAACGTACACTTCTCACCGCAGAAGTCAGGGTGCGTTCTATTGCTGTGTGCGCAGCTCTGCAATTAAGAGATCGGCCTCCACCGTGTCTCAGAAGCATGAAATTCACTCGCAACGACGCACTTGAGTACACGCTCAAGGGGAAGCGAATTTTCGCGAGGCGTTTCAATACATCGGGCTCGTTTCCCCGAAGCACAGAATATCTCTGTAGCTGTGCGTGCCTTGTCGATTACGCACGACGACGCGTTTTTTTTTTTTGGGGGGGGGGGGGGGGTGAGTAGAGTCGCAGTAGGTGGTGCGCTTTCTCTAACAGATCATGCTCAATCGTGTCTCAGAAGTAGGGAGCTGTCTCTGCACAGCTGATCATGCCCAGTGCACCTAAATGTGAGCACACGGGTCTACAGCGTTTTCACCTCCATAGAAAATGCAGCCACCGCAGCCGGGTCTGAACCCATGACCTGCGGGTCAGCAGACGAGTAATATCGCCACACCTATGCTCATTCGGATATGACCACGCAGATTTTAGAGGAAAACTCCACATGGTTCCCTCGTGCAACCACCTACATGACGACTCGAAGGCGGAAGTCATAGCCTTATTTTATTGATTGATTGATATGTGGGATGTAACGTCCCAAAACCAGCATATCACAGCCGATGTATGAGGGAGGGGAGAGCACGAACCGCAACCTCACGTGCCACTGCTGCTGATAATGATGATGACCTATATGTATAGCCCACACCGACTCCCGGAGATCGGCCAAGAGATGAGTGCCGTCTTAAATTTCTTGTCATTAGCTCGCGTGCTTTCCGGTTTTGTTCACCGCCCAAATGAGGGCGCTACGACGGCATCATGCGGAGTTACGTCACATATAACCCCGCGAGAATTCGTTACGTCATGAGGCGTCACAATTCTTTACTATCTGTGACGTCCAATCACGTCGTATAGTGACGTCATTTCATGATAATATTTTGCATCAGTCGTCATTGAAGTTGCCGTTGGTCAAATTTTCCGTTTTTTGAGACATCTAAGGCCTGGCCTTAGTCATGGACGCCGAGGGCACTCATGCTGCATTCCAAGGGTGGTTTACTCCCCACCTATATTCACATAGAGAAGTAGAACAAAGAGAGGTTGCTGTGAGCAGCACATGACTTTTCCATTTTTGAATCCATTGAAAACATTTGTTTTTTTGTTTTTTTCGGACTCGTTCATATTGGTGAGGGAGTCCGCGGTGAAGAATCCCTCCCCCCCCCTCCCTTCATACGCCTTTGACTTGACGTGTGCCAAAATTGGCATGGCATGGCTTTATGACAGGCATACATTTCGTTCATTTCATGTTCTTCATGACTTAAGTGGCAAGGCTTTGTGGTGCTCTCAAAATTGTTTCATCAACTTGGTACGTGCGAATTCTACATACTGGAACATCAGAGCCTTGCGAACATAGATTCAGTATAGATTGCACCATTCAGTATAGATTGTAGGCCATGACATGAACAGCACGACATGCATGTATTTCAGGTCATGACATACGTGAGAAAGTGCAATCATGATTGATATTTCAGTTGCGGTTTTATAGCTTTGCTGTATACAAAAATGCACAGCAAACGACGTCCTTATCAACATGAATGAAAAGTGGAGATGTAAATGTTCACGACGTGCATGTCATCTGTAGCATAACATTGAACCTAATTTACATAATGAGCTCGTCGCGAAGCCTGCGTGGCGGTTTCATGAGCATATATGAGCTAGAATGTACATGCATGCATCGTGGATCTGGCAGTTTTCTTTCATTCTTTGCATCCACTAGAATTTTTTCTCACTGACAGCGCCGATTTTCGCTACCAGCCAACGCCACCGACGTCGACTCTACATTTTCTAAGACGCTTGCTGTTTAACGCTGTTGCGTTAAAAGCATAGTCTAACTGAATATAGCCGGAAAGTGCACGGTAATGCAACATTGTCATTTAAAAAAGCCGCATTTTGTATCGATGTGGAAGAGGTATGCGATAGGGGGAAATGAAGAACTGGGTGCATACTAATAGCTCCTTCAGTGAAGTAAAACTACAGTAGCGCCCCGGCGGCTTGTTTTGAAACTAAGGCATCATTCTTCTTTTTCTTTTTTTTTTTGCACTCCTCTTACGTTTTAGTGGGTTCTGTCGATTTTATTGCCTGTGGCGCCGCATCGTAGGTACCAGAGGTATTATTCAAAATGGCTGCGAGTTTTGTTTCGGGTGACTTTTCACGCGCTTGACGAAGACATTTCGCAGCTGTTGGCGTGTGCAAAATCCAGGAGAGATAATTGTCATGGTAAGTGAGGACTTCCCCATGCATGACATGTGGCTGTATCTGCAAATGTATGCTACTAGGCCACTAACTCCGTGGAGCAGCCGAACATGGAAAGTCGATCAAACGGTAGAAATCTCATAAATTCTGTTTTTCTACTTTCGCCCGCACAGCCTCGTTTGTTGCAGATGCTTTTCGCCGCTCGTGATTTACTCGTCGGTTGCGTTGAACATTCGGTGAATGCATTCTAACGCAAACGTGTGGCACATTCGCGCCTGCTGGTGAACGGCGAGTGCTCTGTTGCAGCACCAATCTTGTGGCCTTGAAACTCTGAAACCGCAGTTCGTTACTGACCGCTTCATAACGTTTTCAGACTTGACGAACGTAACTTATTTTTCGCGATCACTGCTAGCATGCTTTTTTTGTTTTGCATCCATGCGCGCTCCGGCGCTGTGCATGGGCGCACAAATCTTGAATCTGGTAACAGTGTTGCAGGCAGTTTGTTACGTTATTCAAAACCGTGCGATGGCTTCTTCCTGAATCGTTGCACGTTATTTTTGATCTAAGGATTTTAGAAATGCTTGCTTCAACACTCGGATACCGCGAATACTGATCGATGTATCGGTAGAATTCTGATTTGACGCTGACGGCTGCGAGCCACGCTTGAGGTAACTTGGTGCGATCGCTCTCAAATTCGCTGTTTTGCTCCGCGCTGTATTTCACAGAAGCTTCCGGTAGCGTCAACCTACTCGGCTGCTCATTTTCTCGCGATTTTTTCTATTTACGTGCCTGGTAAGATGCCGGCATTGTTCGAACCGCTGTATCGCTGACTTTTTTTTTTCATTCTTTTTCCTCGTTTGTTCGCTGCACAGAAAGTTCGCCCACCACTGGCTTTTTCGAGGCCTTCACAGCTCTGGTTTTGCTATGTCAGAGCAGTATAGCAGCGACGAAGATGCCTGGTAAATACTGCTCTTTTCAATATTTCCACTCGGACCCGTTGGTTTCCGTGATTTGAACTTGAGCGTAGCGCCCCAAAAGTTTAAAAATGTAGCACTCTGCTATGTGGTGTTAATTAATGGGGGAGCATACATTGCATACACATTTTTCCTGTTGTGAATCTCTGTGGAACTGTGACCCACCTGTTCACCTGATGTGCCTTGCTGCCACGCGTTTTGCTTGATTTCAGAACACTTTTGTGTTATTCGATCGAGGTAATCATTTTTCCTTTGCTTGCTTTTCTTTTTCTTATTTTCTCATGTATAGGCAGTGAATGCTCGGTTGCCTGTGTAGGTCGCACTGCGAAGCGAAATCTCTGGATCTGTTGCAACCACTTCTGGAGACCGTAATAGTTGCACTGATGTTTCCTATTGATCTATGGTTATCTATGCTGTCTCGGGTGTCTAAAGCGTAAGTTCACTCACGAATGCAGCATCTGCAATGGGGAAGTGGGCTCCCGCAGCAGCCACAAGCGCAAGGAAGTCCACAATGAAGTGGAAAGGAGGCGGAAGGACAAGATCAATATCGGCATACTGCGCCTCGGCGATCTGCTGCCCGACAAGGACCCCAGAAAGCAGGTGTGCTGTTGTGGTGGCAGTCGTCGGGCTATAAGCTCACTAATCTGACACTGACACTAAGTTGAAGACGTCAAATCAATTTACAGTGTTAGAATTAGCTGGTAGGCATCCTATAGCATTAGTTTTGTGGTGTGCGACATTTATGTGCTTAGAAAACAAAATTGACACCAACTCAATTGTAGTAAGCTACGCTTTTCTTGCAAGTTTTTTTAGTAGCAACAAGTAAAAGAAAGCATTGTGATGTTGGAGCTTATTCTCGTTGAGTGTTAAAGACTGTTGAATTTGTGTTGAGCAACATTCGTATCAAGTGGAGCACTCTTCATCTTATGGTGAAGATTTACAATTTTTTTCTAGTGAGCCATATTATTTGAACTGTAATTTTCTGCGTAGTATTGTGTATACTCATCAGAATTGTTTCCACACAGAAACAAGCTTCCCACTTCTTTGCAAGTTCTTAAAAATTCCTTACTGTTCTTGAAGGTTTGAAAGCTAAAACAAGTGTATGTGATTGTCAACTGTTACTCAAGACAATCTACATTATGCATCCTTATTGTGTTGTCTTTCTTGTGTGTAGAGCAAGAATGGGATCCTTGAACGGGCATCGGAGTACATCACATACTTGAAAGACTTGAATGAGAAGCTGGTGATGGACAAGGTTACCAACATGGAAGGTAAGCGTCTGCTTTAACACTATGTTTCATGATCGTCATCATCCTACATTTATGTCCACCAGAACAAAGGCCCCTCTTACCGATCTCCTATTTCCCACTGTCTTACGCTGTAGCCAATTGCAGGTCCTGCCTGCGAATTCCTCGGTTTCATTACTCACCCAATTCCTTATAGTCCTCAACTGAGCCTTCATCCCTTGCAGATTGTGTGGTGTAATTTTATTAGAGCACACTTTGTCTGCTGTATTCTTTATATGACCTTGCCAGCCCTATTCTTTCCTCTTTTATTATAAGCTAAAATATCAGCTGCCCACATTTGCTTTCTGATCCACACCACTGCCTTTCTGGCCTGTCCCATAACCCTAGTCTTAAAGGACTTCTTACAGATGAAACCTCTAGGTGTCTGGTGTTGACCGTTCTTATACGTGGGCACGTCTGGCTGATTAATAATACCAAATGTTGCCTTTAAGATATTTTAATTCGGCTTTTAAAGTAAGCATTAGTGCTTATCAGAGTCGGCAGCACTTCAAACATCGCCACTCGTGTGATGTAGGTCGTGGACCCTGTGCAACGTTTCACAAGTAAAGCGAGTGTTGTTGACATCACATGGTCTTAGGTACTCCCCCACAGTGGCGCACTAGATTCTTATGATTTGAGGTGGGTGTATTGAAGTGACACTAAAATTCGTCCCAGTTAACAATGCTAGCACCATTTATATGATAGATTAGAGCATTAACAGTTTAAAAGGAGATGCGAGTCAGAAAACTGCTTTTTTTTTTTTTCAAAAATAGATATTTTTTGTTTTTATTTACTTTGCACAAGTTCCGGTTTATTCACTTTAACGCCAAAAAAAATGTGAATTGCAAGTAAACTCGAAGTAGGTTAAAATGGCTTTAAAAAATCACAAGATGGTTACTAAAAACTAGGAAGAGCTCATGGTCTAGCGTCCCCTGGATATTGTCATTTAACTGCTTGCTATTGCATTTTGCACGTAGACTTCACTAAAGCCACATGCTCAAAATAACCATGATTGCCAAGTTCTTATGATGGAACATCTCCTCTTAAATAGCGTATATTTTCCACATAGATGCGCTTTCACTTGTACATTTAAAATGGTTTTTTTTTTTTTTTCAAGATCCATTTTATGGCAACTTTTTGAGTTTGGATATCATGATTTTGATACTTGTGATAGTCTGATTGGGATGAAATCTTTTCCACACATTCATCAACACGCAAAAGGTGCTAGTGCCTCCTATAAAATTTTATATCGCCTGTATAAATATTGTGATAACAGTAATCAATTTGTATATGCATAGTATTCTAAGAATTCTCACTTTACAATTTTTCTTGACCATCAAAATGTTTTATATGCACTTTCGTGATAGTTTTTCGCACTCTACAGTAAATATGGAGCAATATCAGCCAATAATCACTCAAAACCATAAAAATTAGTGGCATAAAAGGTTTGTCCAAAACGAACTATACTTTACACATTGCCGTGGCACAAAATGGAAACTGTGCCACTTGTTATATATCTAATTACATATTTGAAATAAGCATAAAGGCCTGTATATACAGTGGGAACTTCATTTCCCTCGGCCTAAGATTGAAGCAACTTTTTTTCTGAATCACATCTAGCCTTAATTTCAGAATTACTGGACACAAACCAACAGATTACAGTAAAAATTTCAAACGGAAGTTTCACTGTCAGGGATCCCGTAACATCTTTTGTTGCTGTTCATCATCATCATCATTTATTTTTCCCTTAAAGGCCCCTCTCGGGGTATTACATAAGGGGGGGGGGAGGTTACATAAAGAGTTACAAAACATATCGGATCACAATACTGAAACATAACACATAGAAATGCAGACTTATTTAAAAGCACAAAAAAATGTTACAATTTGAATCAGGCATATAAAGGCGAAAAGAAAGAACAGTGTAAAAAGAATTTTACAGCGTAAGATGATCAGTGAGCAACTGCTTAAACGCAATAGGGTTTCGCTCAACGACAACACAGTCTGGCAAAGTGTTCCATTCTGCAATGGCTGTTGGCAAAAAAGATTGATTAAAAGAAGACGTAGAACCGTGCAAACGCTGGACGCTGCACCAGTTCTCTCTCTGGTTAACCAAGTTGCTGCCTCAAATGCTAGTACTGGTAGTATGCAGTAAATGTGTGCTGTTCTCAAGCATATTTATAAATCGCCAGCCGTAATTTGAAAATGCCTGCGCTAAATGCTTCAAGCTGTTTGTCCTCTGTAAACCTTTACCTTGTGATCCAGGTTCATGTGACTCGCTGATCTAGAAGCACTAGGCGTGGGGTGGTCTTGCACTGGTTGCGCACGTTTTGGTGGCAACACGAAGCTATTAGCATGTCGTGGCCAGAAAGTGGGCAGTCGCTTACTGCAGGAATGCGGGGCTGAATGTTTCCTCGTGCTCTCATCGCTTGTGTCTTTTGCCACCGATCTGACTCGGGCAGCCAAGTCCGAGCAAACGTGTTTTGCTGCAGGCTACCTAAACAACTATGCAAACATGAATATGGCTGGGAAGTACATTCAGATCTATCGGTTCCCGTCTGCACCTGCCATCGACACCAGCCTTGCAGGTGCACCGGCTGCCAAGACAGTCCTATTAAAGTCAAGCTAAATGAATTACACAAAAAACTTAAGATGGGCATAGCTGTTTGAGCATTAAAGTTGGCAAAACATCGAAAACCGAACAGGAACAAGCATGTGCAAGAAGTGCGACCAACGAATAAAATGTGCAATCGGCAAAGCATAGTATAAAGCATGACTTGGAGACGTATGCTCTCTTTTTTTCATGTTTGCAGTCGATGTTAATGTGTAGACAGGATGACGAAGTACTAGAAAAATGAAAAGAGGAGGTGCTACTTACATCTAGCCCCGCATCGCAGCTTAACGTGTTGAACTTTGTCTGCGGTGCACACTGGCTACACAATTTGCATAGATAGATATGTGGGGTTTAACGTCCCAAAACCACTATTTGATTATGAGAGACGCCGTAGTGGAGGGCTCCGGAAATTTAGACCACCTGGGGTTCTTTAACGTGCACCCAAATCTGAGCACACGGGCGTACAACATTTCCGCCTCCATCGGAAATGCAGCCGCCGCAGCTGGGATTCGAACCCGCGCCCTGCGGGTCAGCAGCCGAGTACCTTAGCCACTAGACCACTGTGGCGGGGCTACACAATTTGCAGTCATCACCTTTGTCATCAGTGATGTTATGCACACGACCTGCTTCGTGCAAGCAAAGACCCTTTTCTACAGCAGATGCGTGAAAAGGCGTACGCCAGTTGGCCAAGCTTTTCAAATCACAGTTCAAAATAACTGGCAGCGCCACGGTTGCACTTGCACTGTCAGGGCTTTCTGCAGCTCCAGTGACGCTCCAGAAAAAAAAGTGAGGAAGTGGGAGTTCGCCAGCTGAAATGTCAAGATGTTTACAATGTGTCGCCAATCGAGTCTGTCTCATTTCAAGTCTTGAGAGGTAGAAGGCATCATGCCCCTTCTCTGGTTAGCCTCTGAACGACAACAAATGCTTCGAAGCACAGCATCTCTCAAAGAACCTGACTCTTTTGATGTTCTGATGGCATTCCTCAGTGGGATGACATGAAAAAGAAATGTGCAGTTTTTTCTAGATTACCTTGCGGCCACTAAATGTGCCCTTGACCACAAACGGCTGTGTGGGTGTCTCCCAGAAGCCCAGGCAAGGGGCTCTGTTATTTAAACGGAAGTCCAACAGTCAAACTGCACGTTCATTTCTTTTAAGAGCACTGTTGCTGCTACTTATTTTTGCTTTGCACTAAACACAATAGTGTACAGCTTTGGATGGCTCAAAAGGAAGCGCTGTCGCTTCTCTTCTAATACAGCAGCCAACATGCAGGGCGTTCCGCGTCGTCAGCCTCACATGGCAGCGCTGTCTGTGCTGCCAGCCTGGGGCACTGTTTAGGAGGGATCATGCGGCTTCTTACGATGACCGCCTGGCGCATGTGCCGATTTCCTGTTAAAAAGTTATACAAGCTGGCTGCTAATTTTAATGTTATTAATCTCGTGCCATTTAATTGAATATTATCATAGTCTGCTTTGGAATAATCCACAGCCCTACTTTACACCCTCGCAACTACGATCCTTTGTGATTTGTTGTACTTCATTCCAACACTGTCTAACAGGACTAAAAAACAATGAATGTTCGTTCAGCATGCCCCCGATCCTTGCACTTGATTCTTCCCATCTGAATGCTTGTTCCAAATGTGAGAAGTTGACTGAATTAAAGAAATTCTGTTTTTTTGTCATCTGACTCCTCTCATGGCCAGTATATTTTCTGGTTTTTAGATAAGTCGCCTGTGGAGTCTGTATTTGTCACAATATTCATGCATTCTTCCTGTATTTCTTGTTTACACAATGTAATTATGGCTGTTGGTATTTCTGGTGGATAAGATGCCCTGTTTTAAGTGACCAGAGGCCTAAATTTTAATTATCCTGATTGGTTATATAGAAGAAATTCATATCAATGCTAGTCACATGCTGTTGAAGCTTTAGGTCCTTTTCAGCTACTCATAATTGTTAACTACAAAAAGAGCTACCTTTTCTGAGAAGCAGAAAACCTATGGAGGGCATTTTCGGTGTTTAAATACAAAGAAGTTATGAGCAAGCCGAGACTTATCATCACGACATGCTCCAATTAACATGTGCGCTTTTTTTTTTCTTCCCCTGTTTTCAAACAGCCACCGTGTTTGCCAGTTTACGCAAGCAGATAAGGGAACTGGAGGAACTCAATGCAAACTATGCGAGACTGCTTACCACGGCAGGCATTCCCTTGACGAGTGGGCCCGAAGAGATCTGGGACCACAAGCCAAAAAAGTATTCCTTGAAGCACCTCCCTGACAAGCAACGTGCCCTACTTGCCTGCACTGAAGTCAAGACGGTTCTTCAGAGGCAGCAGCAGCAACAACCATGCCAGCACCATGGCACCACGACTATTTCGACGCGGCCTGCTGCAGAACCTCATGCTCCTAAAGCACCACAGGCTCAAGTGGCACCGGCCATACCACCGGCACCACCTCCTCCAGCAAGCAGTGCACGGGAGGCAACGCCCGGGTGCACACTGGTAACTCAGGCACTTCCATCGGCACCCGTCATGTCTACAGCTCAGCCATCTGCCGTCACGGTGTTTCAGCAACAACACCCTCTAACCGCCGTCACACCCACAGCTACCGGAGTGACCACGGGAGCAGCAGGCGGGGTCGTCTCGCAACCCATTCTTGTGATCAACGACCAGGGCGTCCCCGTGCTGCAAAATGTAGTGACCTTCCAGAACACATCCATCATCCTCAATCCGCAGGGACATGCCATGGGAGCACGCGCGCCAGGATCGGTGGTCTCCTTCACGGGGCCTGACATGCTGCCTCAGGTGCACTTGGCAGCGGGTCAGAGCACCGACGACTTTGCCCACTCTGCAGCAGCACTGGGTGGCCTAATGCATTGTGACCCCAAGCTGAAGGAGGCTGCCAAGCTCTGTGGCGTCCAGCATAATGCGGCAACATTCCTCTCGGGTGCAGGTATGGTGATGAACCAGCCCCTCCTCTCCCTTGGAACTGGAGCAACAATGATTGCTGGGCAGACGGCAACAGCACCGCAGGTCCCTTCAGCGTTCCTTCTTCCATCCGGGCAGATCATTCCTGTCGTCTCGCAGCCACAAGTGGTCAGTGCACTCTATGCAATCGGCACACCCTCTTGGGAGTCAGGTTGCAGCTAATGTTGCAGCAGCTGTGAGCAGTTGTAGCACTTCTCTCACGAAGGTGGTGCAATGTGATGGTACACAAAGCTACATGTGCAGGGAGCATGCATCTTCTGTTCAGAATAAGGCGCTGACATCTACACCCTCATCCAGTGGAGCTGCAGTAGGTACTTCCACAGTGCAGCCTGGTGGGAACTGCAGAAAGCAGCATCACTCTTGCCCACAGCATTCATCGCCGTCTACGTCAAAGTGCATTGCTGTGCCAGACAGTTCGAAGACGAAGCCGGTGTGTTCTCACGCAGCGTCCAAACAACCGCTATGCATCAGGCCGAAGCCAACTTCACAGACGCCAGACTCTAGTCAGGCTAAGTCTTCATGTGCACGTAAAGGTGGTGGGGGCAAGAAAGTGGCAGCATCGAAATCCTCTCCAGAGTTACCAGCCAAGAGGGCACGCACAGACACCCCACGATCAGATGAGGAGGCCGCTTCACACACCTCCAACTGTTCGTCAACCACAGCAACCACCTCAGCCCATAGCACAGAAGGAGTGAGTAGCACAAGCAGCAAAGACATCTCACCCCTCGCTGCAGACATTCTCGCTCAAGCAACAGAATCAATTTTCTCATGTGGCGGCAATGTGGAAGCAGCAGTCAAACAGGCAGCAAAGTCGAAGAACAAAAGTCCAATGTCGGCAAGCTCAAGTGACCAGGTCGCAGCCCCTGCAGCTTCAGTCCCTGCCTCCGTAGAAACCGACACGGGCACGCAGGCATCAACCACCAGCACAGCATCTTCTCCTCCCAGTACTTCAGTTACTCTAACCCAAAGTCACTGTTCAAAGATGTCTGTGCTTGCAGAAGCAGTCTGTAGCAGTGAAACTGTTCCAGCCAACAGCACTGTTGAAGAAGTACCCAAGATGAAAAACATTTTTGAAAATGGAAGGCCAACAGGAAATGGATGCAGAGACGACATCTACGACTAGCCAAGTGTCTGTGGAGAGCGGCGCACAGCCTGTGTCGGCAAAAGAAGGGCAAGATGACATTCAGGCATCTGATAGTGACCGTAATGAACTCCCTAGTCTTAGTTTACACTCCATAGTGATGGAGGAAAACATTGATATATCTCCGAGCGTCAGTTCGACGACTTTCACTGAGAGTTATGTTTCGGTAAGTGCCCGTGGTAATGGTCACAGCACACCCCAGGGCTCCTCTAAGATTCCAGACTGTGCCGCTTCCATACTTTGCCAACTCACTCCACCCAGCAGCAAAAGCAGTGAAGATAATAGCAAAGCCTTTGTTTCAAGTACTGACAGTCTAGCATCAGACCAGGAGTTGCCCTTAATATTGAGCATACCTGAAGATGATGGTCACGGTTCTCTTAACAGCAACTCAAATCCAGGTCTTTCCTTTCCATCGCTGTCACCTGGGGATCAACTAGAGCACGAATTGGGAAATAGCAATGCTAAAGCAGTGGAAAGCACGAGCAGCTTATCGCAGTTTGTCCTCACTCCACCAACACCGCATCTTACTGCCAGTATAGCACAAGTGTCAGTCACCTCGAGCACAAGCAAGAAAAAAGAACCATTGCAGAGCAGCGCTTACACCTATGTTGCGCCTGAGAGTTTCTCTACACCCTCAAGTCATTCAGGAGAGTTGCACACTATTGGGAACACTGGCAGCAGCAGCAAGCAAGACTGTCACCATGCCTCTCGATCTCCACAACTTCATAGCGCACCTTCCCGCAAAGTTGCACACGGAGGCATCGTGCCACAGTTTTGTTTCAAACGCACCGCCTACACTCCCAATGCAAAGCCGAGGGCTGCAGTTTTCGACGGCATCTGCAGTAACTGCAGCCTACTCAAGTGCACAACATTTCATTGCCTGGCTTTAGCACAGCTCAGGGCTTTGCCACTTCCAAGGAACCCGAATCTATGCCCCTTCTGGACCAGACCAGCAAGCCGCCCCCTTCACCATGTCGAATGGTCCGCGACTCTGGACGTTGCACAACACCAAGCAAGAGTCCATCTGCACAGTTTCCGATGTCTATAAATCCCTACATGACAACCACTCCTTTTCCGTTTCCACGACCTGATCAGTACACACCTTGTACCCGGACACCGACTTCCCAAACTAACACATCGAACAGCAGTAACACTGCACTGTCATGCTATTCTGCCGAGGCCTTGATTGGGACACAGAACTTTTTGCCATCGTCTTACCGGCTCACACCCCCTCGTGTGCTCAGGTCCCCACAACCCAGAGGTCATCTTGTCAGCAGTCATCGCGCCCTCAAATTTCTTACTCTGCAGAAGCCTCATTCAGTCACAGGCTAGCAATCCAAAGAAAGATCTCCAAACAAATGCCAAGGAACCTAGCTTTTCAAACCATTCTGGATTTGTGAACAGGCTTCCTTCTTATCAGCCCCAAACCAGCACACAACACACTACAGGGCTCTCGCATCAGCGGCAGCTTCCAGCCAGCTCATCTCAACAGGTTCACTTGGGCAGCGCAGCTGTGTCAGGTGGCAACAGACAACAGGTCGCAAGCATTGCCCGTTTCAACAGCTGTGCCTCCACAACCTACCACAGTGCACAGCAGCTACACAGCACAGCTTGGCAACAATGCGCAGCGCAGCCTGGCAACAACTCCGAGCCGATACCCCATCCATACTTACCATACAGCCAAGGATGACTTCCCCATGCTTCCCTCAGCACCACTGCACACTCCGCCTTTGCACACAATGGCACCACATATGTCGCAATCTCCCTCATCACGCAGTCATCACGTGCAACCTGAGGCCAATCCTAACCAGAACATGTTTCAGCACCAGAACTACCCGTACCCAAATTTTTCTCTTGGTCATCGAAGCCCCAGCTTTGGTACCTGTGCTACCTCCCGGCCTGAAGTTTCAGCAACAAGTCGAGTGCCGGCTAGCTGCCTTCAGGCAACATCTCCTCGACAGTCCCACTTTGGAATGCAGGTCCCTACCGTCACAGCAACAGGGCTGCCTGTTTCCAAGCGCCTCCTCAGCATCTCTTCTGCCACTGACGTCTGAGTTTGGCCCTCAGTGCTCTGGTCCATTGGCGCCACCTCCACCACCGGTGTTTGGAAATCTGTCCCAACATTGTGCGCAAGCACCACACTTGGTTAACAATCTGATCCCCGGCCCGTTCGCCACTAATGGAAACACCATATGTGGTACTTCGCTTCCACCGCCAAGTGTGGAGAGTGAAAAGCCAGGCGGCCGCAGGGAGAAGCAAAACATGCACTTGATGTCCGAGACGAGTTGTCACGACACAGAAAAACAGCAGTCTAAATCAAAATCCAAAAAGAGCAAGCCCTCAAATACCTCATCGCACAGTGCTGTGAGCAGCATACCATACTTTCCAGATTTCAGAAATGAAGTCTCACAACCACGCGTTGATAACATTACCCCCGCCTCCAGCACCTTCACAAAAGCTACCTCACGCACCCTCCCTTCCATCGGTGTCAACTTCAACATCGTCGGCACTGCCTTGGCCACATCATCATCAACAGCAGCAGCACCAGCAGCTACAGCAGGCCCCGCAGCCTCCACATTCAAAGCCCAGTCATACCGGCGCTGAAGTCGAGCGAAGTGCGAACATCAGCAGCGCTGCTTACAACCCACTCTTCAGGCCTCAGTCCCAGCAGAACAGCATCAACTTGAACCTCAATGGGTCCGCTGCGCCAACACCTCACTCCTCCTCTGTAGCTTCCTTCTCACACCACCACAGCCCTTTACAAAGAAACACGCAACACAGTAGTGCATCGACATCATCAGTCGCATCTGTGGTATCCATGACCTGGCCCAAGCATTTCGACGACCACGCAGGTCGCCCCTTATTCAAACTGCGCCGTTGCACCATCACAGCATGTTCCCAACTTCAACCTGAGCAACATCTTTCCAGACATCAGCTCGGGCGAGCAGGCCAGGGCCAGTGCTGCGCCACCACCGCCATCCACACACTTTTATCCCTCCAGCCGCGTGTTGCACAATTCTTTCAATCACATTCTGCCTCCTCCACCTCCCCCAGCCCCAACTCATAACAACTTTGTGCACTCTGGCCACCACGCGCCTTCCTTCTCCAATGTTATTCCTCCGCTCACCTTTCCTATGCACGAACATTAGACCTTCTTTGGCTCTCGTCGAAGAAAAAAGCTTGGAAAGGTGCCTACTCAAACAGATGCACCGCTTCCCAGGTGGCTTTTCCGCAGTCTGTTACACATTGGCAGCCGTGTGAAAATGGCATGTACATTGGTGCTTCTGTACTTACTAACTTCATAGTTTTATCTTTTTGGTGACGTCTTTGTTGTTGTTCTTCTGTTACGTGTTTTGTGTTATATTTATTCCCCGTGCAGTGTCTGTTCCATACTGTGCTTATTGGGGGCTTTTTTAGCCACCTGGTAAAAAGGAAACTATGTCTGGTGTTTGCCTTCTTAATGTTCTAATTTTAAAACGCAGCTCCTAGCCTCAGAAGTTCAACTGATGAAGTGTGTGTGTAGGTGTATGCATGCAATGCTGATTGAAAAACCTGTGTCCCTCGAAGTCACATTCTTGATAGCAAAAAGCTGTTTGCCCATTGCTCAATCAATCGAAGTTGCCTCTGCTCACTGTGTTTTTGCAAGGATATGGGAAAGTTATGTTGAGCTTGAAGCGTTTGTGCATATTTTGCAGTTTTCAATGTGTTTCCGTTGTTGTAGATTTGGCTCCAGGTCTTCAGGGAGCAGCTACAACTGGGTTTTAGTGTGTTTTGATTGATATAAATATTCTGATATACTAAAGTCGAATGGAGGTATAATTTCAGACCTTTGTTCCACTGTGAAAGCAAAGGCAATAAGGGTACAGCTTCTAAAGCTGTATTACCAAACCAAACAATTTTGAACGAGCACGCTACCACTTTCAGCCACTACAGGTTTGTTTACAGTCGGATACAACTTTTGAAGTCTGTGGCATTTCATCCTCGCAAGCCTACACCTATGGGCATGCCCTCCAGGCTGACATCATGAGCCTGATAGCCGGTGTTAGGAGGACATAGCCAAGTTCATAATGAGACCATTTCTTTAGTCGCTGAGGCAATCAATCCGTCGCGTGCTTCGGCCATCTGGGCACAGGCCTCTCTGGATTTCTTTCTTAAGTTGTACCCAGCAATACAGCAATAGCTTTGTCGTCATACACTTGAGGTCAACCAGCCATGAAACAGGGCAACTTTTTTTTTTTTTTTTTTGAAGCTGCTTAGCGCTGGCCAAAAAATCTGTGCGAAAATTGCTAAGTCTGTTATTCGAAGTAATTTTTAAGGGTCCCTGAAATGTTTTTTTTTGAAAATATGTAAGTGATTGCACCACAACCTAAAGTGAATCATTTGCACTGTAATTTAAGTAAAGTCCTTTATATCAAGACAACTACAGGCCCTCTCCTACACAGCCACCCTCTCTCAGAGCTGTACTTTAGCCCCTCAGCTTCTTTTCCAAATAGTCATGGCTGAGTTCTGCATTTCGTATCCTCAGCCGGCACATGGTAGATTGCATACATCAACTTCTATGTTCTTGTTGGTTTTTGCTACACCAGACATCTCCAGACACTCATTCACTTGCTCTTCCTGTACAGACACTGAGAAGCCAATTAGATTGGTGGTGCTAGGGGCATGCCGGAACAATGCTGCATCGTTTAAGACGTACTATGTGTTTAAACCTCGTGAGTGTAAATTACGTCCAAAAACAAAGTTTTGCAAATGGTCAAGTTACATTTATTGCGGTTTTTGAACATACAAAATGCATAAAATTTAAGACATTTACTATGTTTTTAAACCTCGTGAGTGTCAAACTACTCTAAAAACAAAGTTTCGCAAATGGTCAAGTTATTTTATTGCGGTTTTTGAACATACAAAATGCATAAAGTCAGGAAAAATAATGATTAAATTCAGGAACAATACTTTGGTACCAGTATCATGCGTATCTGCATAACGTTCTCAAGTGTTTCAGAGCATGGTGTTTTTGAAATATGGGCCCACACTCAGCACCTTATCACAGTCTGCACGCGTAGAGCATGTTTATTCTTTTTTGCATTGACAAGTTGTGTTGGCACACACACACACACATCTTTTTTCGTACAGCTGTAAACTCGGTAATTTGGAAAAACAAGAATACTTTATATGATTCAGTGATAAATAAGCTAAGAGCCGCGAAAATAAAAATGGAAATACCTTCCACCGCCCCTGCAAGGAAGTGCCAATAAACAAAAATCAAGTTTCGTGCACCTCCGTTTTGATAATAAGTTCATTTAATAATAATAATAGTTTTATTTCAGTATCAACAGAAAATAATATAACACTGATGAGGCTACAAGATGCTAACAAAAAGCCTTTAACAACTTCACAAAAGCTAGCACTCTGCTTACATGGCGTGGAGAAACCGGAACTGCAAAAGGGCACTGCCCATTGCGCCGCCTCCGACCGTGCGGTGTGCTGACGCTAGAAATCGGTTCGGTTTATCTCTGCAGGAAGGTAGCACAATAATTTTCAATGCTTTTTGTAAGTCCTAGGAGATGGCAGTACCTCCCAGTGACCATGGATCATCATTACTATGCAAAATATGAAGTCCAGGTTCGATATTGTGCCAGTACGACAAAGACACTCCGGCACGCAAAACCGCAACGGTACACGTACGGCAAAAACACCTTGAGTTAGAAACTTTGTGATAAATTGGATACTTTACACAAAAGCACATAAATCTCACTTTAATAATCCAAAGAACTTACACTACCAGCTCAGCACAAGAAATTGTCAGAACCATCTGAGAGTCCATTTAGAATACCAAATTGAAGTTACCTCAGACGTACTACTAGTCTTTGCACTAATAGCTTGGTACAAAAAATAGTAATATTTTCTATCACTAGGAACTGGCTCGTGCCTGATTACTAGTTAAAAAACGATTTATGAACACAAAAAATATATGGTAGTGGTACATACCTATGCCAATCTTGGTCTGACAGTTCAAGGCAACATAAACTATTTTGTTTTCTATTGATGTATGCCACTACCTTGGGCCATTACATTGAATCCTTTCTCCATTTTGAACATCATGACATCAAGTCGGCAAGGTTATGAAGCACCAAGTGTACTTTTGCAACAATTTTTATCTGTACGAATATACCCCAATAGCATTATTTTGTTGTACATTTTTCTAAATTACTTCATTAATGGCCGGATATGGCACAAGTTATTTCGTAACATAACCTATATCAGGGATATTTGCTTCAAACGGATCTACTTGCTTGCTGTGGAGCTTGTGACACCAGCAATAGCAAAATTTCTGAAGCAGTTGCTGTTGTCTATTGCACTGCTTTTCGGTATTTTCTGTATCAAGTTTAGTTGTATTCAGTGTCCTGTGTGTACAGGTAAATCCTTGTTAATTAGCTCTTGTATATCACTCGGGCTGAACCAAGAAATGTGCGAAACCTCCAGTTAATCAAGAAGTCTGTTAAAAAGTTTGGTGTTCTCGTGTTGACACATTTGTCAGGTGCTGCCTCTTTCGCAGTGGTCGACAGTTGTCGGCAAGCATACCATTCTATTGTGCGATGTCAGTGCATGTTAAAGAACAGCTGATGGATGAAATTTCCAGAGCCCTCCACAATGGCATGCTTCATAATAACATTGTGCTTTTGGCACATAAAGCCCCAGATATAATTATCAAGCATACTGTTCAAAGTTTGTTTTCTGTGTGGTTACAAGGAAGCTTAAATGGACAGCTGAAGCCTAGGTTCAACATCATAATTGTTACTACTCTTGCTATCACCTTGATTTGTAAAGTGGGTGGCTCTTAAGATGTGTATGACGGATGTTAAACTGACAGAAAAATCTAATGTGTGTCGCCCCTTGCATAAATATCTACAATCTCCCGCATCTTGTACCCTTCAACCTGTTTTTGTTTTGTGCACTCTTTGCCTTCTCAACATATGCACCTGTTTTCCTCAATCACTCGTGGAGAAATTTTCGCTTTCCACCCAGCATAATGTCTATTGCTATGTGTAATTGTGATTCACAGCAGTACCTTTTGCTTTAGAAAATTTTATGTAGTAGAGCATTGAAGTTTTAAATAGCGTCTGTTCATGATTCTTGTAAATTCATTGAAATTTTTGCAAATCGAAAGTCGCCATAGTCAAATATTTGCTAAAACACAGCCTTCATTTAGTAAACTCCACTGATATAAAATAACTTGCGTACCAGTCTTAGTTTTTTACTGCAGTATGTATATTTATCTGCCATTCAGTGGTCTGACTGTGTTTCAGAGTTCAGATTTTATGAACTCCACGTGCAAAGTGTGATTCCTTATGCTTGATCCATTTGCGTAAAGCATAAGGCATCGCCCATTGTTGAATGCATTGTTCACACACTTTCGTACCAGCAGAAAACAAATGCCACGAAGAGAACCAGTTGCTGTAGCAACTGTCGTGTCGTAGTATAGACAGTGCCGATTTTGGTTTGTGCTTATTTTTACTGGATACACTCCAGAATTACGCCATAGAATACCTCGGCAGTAAGGAAAGAAATGTGCCGTGCGGCTTCTGTGTGATCGCACTGTGTTTCCATAATCATAAACCGCATTCCAATTCTAACAATGACTTCATTAGTGTTTCAATACATAAGGTGTGCTCACGTCATTCTTAAATTTTGGTTACAAACTGGAAGCTGTGACGTCATCCAGAGAGCTCCATAAAGACGATATTTCTTGTTTTTTTTTATCATTATTAAAGGAGATAAAGTAAATTCAAACTGTCATTCATGCCATCATAAGCCACTGTAGAGTTTGGTGCAGTTAAAAGGTGTGGGAATCTGCACAATGTCTGTTATCTGTACTTTTTAAATTGAGTCGCCAGAAGCACCTAGAACATAAGTATTGTCAACGCCAACCAACGTCCTCTTTTTGGAAGTATTGTCTCAACAGTGGTAGTTCCTGAGGTTGAAATGTCCTGTGTCTGGGATTTATTGTCCCGTGTCTGAAATGTCCCGTGTCTGGGAAGCTACCTGTGTCTGAGATTTATTGTACTGCCTCCCCCACATGAGCAGCTGTTGTCTCGAATATAATGGTTGTTGATGAAAAGGGTGCTTGTCTTTATGGCAAATACATATGGTCCTCCCTCCAAGCTTCTCACTCGTTCTCAAAAAACGTGCATTTGCTTACTGTATAGCCTCGTGTTGAGGTTACAAGACAGTGCAAGAGCGAATGCTTGTCAACTCTCGTTGTTGCATGTAGGAGCCTGTATGTCTAGTCAGCACACTTCCCCAGCCGATTACGCTCAATGCGTCATTTGCATTGTAGATACCCTCGTCCCACATCACTTGCAGCAATGTCTGGTGGTAAAACCAGCAGTGTTCTCATGTATAAAGCCCCACTTCCGATCACCACCTTGCCATCACACTTCACTTGAATATCCCCTTACATGCAATTTTCCCCATGTAAGCTTGTTACACAGGATGTATGTATGTAGTGGTACATGGATTAATCATGTTTTGCACAAATAGTCTAGGTTATTGCTGTTGATATTTCATTGGTGTGCACAACAGAGTCAGTGTACAAAGCGGTCACTGTATTTTAGAAGTTTCAACTTACTTTGTGTGCTGTATTGTTTATTCGTGTATTGCAGTCACTTTGCACGACTTTGCATGTATATAAGCTCGGTGTAAAAGTCTCTCTATAAGTTTTGAGAGGGTGGTATTGCTGTACATATGTTGGAACAACGTGTATTGTGTTATCTGTTTGTTGTCAAGGGGCTGTTAATGTATTATATGCTCAATTTCTCATGCATGGTGAAGGAAGAGGCACTTGTGTAAGTTATGTTAGGGCCCCATGTTGCTAACTAGGTGCACTTTGTTTGCCGACTGACGATTTGACAAAAAGCGAGTGCTTTGCAATAAACTTTTTTTTTTAGTCTTGTTCTGCCTGCTATGTGTGTGATAATATCTTAAGAAAGACAAGTTACTGCCTGTGTACTTACTTCATTCAAATGTACAGACACATTCTACACACCATGAAACGAATGTATGTGAAGGGAGGGCCTATATATTTTACGAGCACAACAGAACCTCTTTGTAATCTGGCCAAAAGATACTCAAAATAAAAAGCTCACGTGGTCGTCTTTGCACTGTTTGCTTTCTTTATTTCCTTAATGCAAGCACATCTTTCAGGTTCGTCCAATGTCGCCCCATATGCATGCAGACAATGTACAAAAACTTAACAGCCAAAAGAAAACATGGGTTGTAGCATCATATATGCATACTTCATCACACAAGGTTCAAGGTCACCATGCACTTGCCCTGGCAGCAATGCGCAAGAACGTGACAGTCAAAAATATGCCAGCTTTGGCGTCGAAGCTGCGTACACTGCTCTCGAATTCGGGCATCACAAGCTTAAGATGTGCACGGGCGTCGCAACTGTCGATCTGCCCCTCGCAAATCGATTGGTAGTTTGCAGTTGGTACACAACTATCGGGCTTCCTTAGAACAAGTTCATATGGAATAGAAATGGCTATTTTGCGTCGTCAGACATTCCACTTGAAGTTTAGCTGGCCAATAGGGGAGGTATCGAGACTACTTTCCGGATGACAGGCTGACCCATTGTTCCTTGCCAAGTGCTAGCCGTAACTGCAGGTCGGGGCGTATTCGGCGAATTCGCGATGCTTCTTTGGGCCACAGGCCCAAAGGACACGATGGTACGTCGCGGAGATCGGGTCCAGGGTTTGAATTCTGCGGTGTCATGCGAAGGCGTGGACTCGGTGGCGACCCGACATGCGCCCTGGAGCTTAGCGCGCTGCCCGAGCCAGTCGAAGATTCTCCCGTCATGAGCGTACTCCACGAGCTTCCATCCAACACGGAACCTTCACTGCCGCAGGCTTCTGCAAAGGCGGCGAATCGGTCTATGACATCTTCAACAGCACCTACTAAGGTTCGGGCAGCATCATGAAACGGTTGGTTCGTCTGGTCAGCCATAGCTTCTAAACACCACGCGTTGCAGCAACTTCGGTTGGCTCCTGTCCGTCACGCCGAGACTGAAAAGAATGTCGTGGGAACAAAGAACCAGTCTTGTCTTGTCTTGTCTCCTAGGAGATCTTGGCTCATACCCACATGGGGGATTGGCCACACTTTACCTCATAATAGATCATTTTTTACAACGCAAAAAAAAAATAAACAGAAATTAGATAGGAACAATAATAATGTTCCTTTGAAAAAACGTGAAAAATTGCAGAAGAATGCGATAAACCAGATTATATAAAACAAATTAACAAGAACGAGGAAGGGGGAGAAAGAATTGGATATATCTGGCAGTACCACAAGCAGCGTATCCTTCCTGTTGCCTGAATGAATTTATGTAGCGCTGACAGAATAGCACTGCGGCCCACACCCAAGGAGGTTATAACCTCCTTGCCCACACCCAACTGACTGGCTCCAAAAGATAATAGGGTGGATGTATTGACTGGCAATCCGAGCATACCAATCGGTCTTTCAAGAATTATTCGGGAACAAAAAACCAGTCACTACACTACAAATGGTAGTGGGTTGGTGTTCTGTGCTAAACTCGTGATCTGAGTTAAGGCCGACGTTTGGCTAAGGCGCAAAAACGTTGGCTAAGGCGCAATTCAAATTTTAGAACTGCCGGTCCGTGCTGCCGGTAACTTCGGCTGCGCCTGTAACCAACATTTTCAGAACAAATTTGAATGTGTTGGCCGTAAGTATGGTGCTTATTTTTGAATACGAAAAAAGAAAGGAAAAACTTGTTTATTTTGGTTGTGCAAATTACAAAACTAATCACCATCATCATCATCGCAATTTCTGACAGATGTGACATACGCGCGAGATTCAAACTCAGGAGTTTGTCTTCTGTCGCATTTGCCTTTCACTCGCTAGGATATTGACCATGTCCACGTTCTTGCTGACTCATCTTAGCTTTTCGCACAAAAAAAGTAGACACTGAATTTTTGTTGCACTTTGCTGTGACCAACGCAACAAGGCGAGGTAGCTTACTTATCTTGCTCGTTCACCTCGCTTCAATGAACTTTCTTTTTTCATGTGTTCTGTTTATTAACGTTGAAATTTGGACCAGTTGGCGGTAGTTCGTGCTCGTGCTTTCCTGTGGCAATATGAAGCAACGCACGGAGACAAGACACAAAAGGAACGAAAGGGACACCACTGCTTTCGCTCCTTTTGTGTCTTGCCATCGTGCGCTGCTTCATAATAAACATGTCCCGTTTATTCTGCGCTAAAAGCTGGCTGCCAGTGATTCCGTACAAAGGCGCCTCTGCGAACCAATTTACCACTCTGGAAATAAACAAAAATATAGTGTGTAGCGTATGGAACGATTAGGAATGGCACCAGTATTCTTTTGTTGTTTTACTTTGCTGGAAGACATTCACGACAAGCGTGTTCTTGGGGGGCAGGAAGGTGAACTTATGCGTTGTGTTTTAAATATTTTTCCTATTCTTAGTTTGTAATTTGTCTATCGGGAAACATAGCCGGTCTGACCGTATCAGTAAGCATTTTTATTTATTCCAAGTTTCTTAAATTAATTCTTCAAGTTGACTTTGCTTTCTAAGTTCATTAAGCATCCTGCTGCCCGGTTCTTGGCCTATCCCACTTTGTGGTTGAGCGCCATCCCTATCAGGTCATCACCATATTTAGAATGTTCTATCTTATGGGAACAGGAGGGTGGGGGAAAAGGCAGGCAAAAATTTGTTCCCTGTTGGTGCCACCACTAGAAGTTATGTGAACGTAACGGGAACACTAACACTCAAGCTACAATAAGCCGTTGATTGTGTTGCGGTGGTCTAAGTACTTCAAAAGAAAGCATGGCCAAATTGACCCAAATATCAAATGTTTGCATTACTTTGATGGCCTAGAAAGTATATATATCGCAAGTTTCCATCCCAACCAGGCAGACTACTGCCAATTGTTCACCTTTACAACGTGTCATGTATGCTCTTTAACACAAGCACAGCCGTCTCAGGAAAGTTTATTTTATCACAGCAAAGAGAAAGTGAAAGGGCGAAATTCCTTAAATGTTTGGGTAGGTGGAGAGGGGGCCATGTCTTCAGATGACACGTGTGTTTCAAACTTGCGGTGGCCTGCACTTATGTCTTGATGGGCTCTCCTGTTCCATCAACCTTGAAGCCCTGCTTCTCGAGTTCTGCTCTGCAATGGTGCAAGGAGGATTCGTTAGCACACAAAATAACAGTGCGGAGAACCACACCGCACTTCTTCGCACTAACGCACCTGAGTTGCTGACTGAAGTCGTCTTCAATGTTGTCGTCATCCCAGTTGTCTTCCCAGACGTTCACGTCTTGGGAATCTTCGGCTTTCGCCGTCCACTCTGCGAGCAACGTACAAGTTTAACCAGATTGAGAACGATGAAAGTAACTACCGACTTTTCTTCAATTATGCGAACGCAGCACTAGTGATCACCCGTTGCGGATCAAATTTCCCAAATGACTCCATTCAGCAGCTTGAGGAAAGGAACCAATCAGGGTCGAGAAAGTAGTAGCGGTGTGGGCCCGATCACACAAAGTGACCGGTTGACACCGGCATCAAAATAATAATAATTTCAGCTTTTCCATCGTAAATGCTCGTTTTCACCCAGTGAGAACACTTCTTTGGTGAATCTGTTCAGGCAGTATGCCGACCGTAACAAATCTGCGTAGGCAAGGTGTAATCACGACCGCCTAATCTAAAGATAAACGAAAGTCTGGCGCTGCACCGCCAACACAAATCGGGTATTTCACAACGTAAACCGGCAACTGTGTCACAGAACGTCAATTAAACAATGGCGGGTTTAACGGTGCGGGCGATTCAACCACCCCTTGTTTCTCTACGTCAGAAATCAAGTCTCTTACTAGCTAAATGTCGGTGTAATTCTTTAGGGCACCAAGTCTGTTAAAGGACGTTTTCACAACGCGTAACACGGCGCACATGGATAGCGTGACAAAGCGAAATGTTGCTACCCGATATTCAGCAGTACATCAATGTGACATCTCATAGGGACATGAAAACAATCTCTTGTGTTAATTTCAACGGCGTAGAGCTCACCTTCAGTAGGAAACTCCTCAAACTCGTCATCTTCTTCGAGAAGTCCAAGATCAACCTTAGCTTTCGCGTTCGGGTCAGCCATTTTGCGAAGCAGCAGCCGATCGATTAAAATTTCAGAGGAGCGTCTTTGCTGAACTAAGCCCAGAATTTGAAGCCGCATACAACGCACAATCTCAATCACTTGAACTTTACCCTTTACTTTACTCTTTGCATTAAAACGATTATATTAAAATGTATCAATTATTTAATCTTATAAACGATTTATTATGAATAAAAATTTAGTTTTTTATTTGTGTGTTCAGCAAAACTGGCTGAAACTACATGCCTAGTTTCACTTTTGCTGTTTTTGCTGGCGCGACCCATGTGCTAGGGTCTCTAGAATCGTACATGTGCTAACCGTTGATATGATATTCGCGGCTTTGGTTCGAAGTAAACGTGTGACCTTTTTGGTTCGAAGTAAACGGTCGTAACCTTTGGTTCCAAACAAACGTGTGACGAGTTCGCGTGACTTGTTGATGACATTCGCACGCTTGATTGTTGTAAGAAGGTTCAGCAGCAGCAGCACCGAGAGGAAGTTGTGGAGGGTTATCTTTTACGGGTCGGACAGCTTCTCTCTGAAGTCTCTCCAAACCTTGAACGAAAACAGGTATGCTACCCAATCTACCGGACCGTGCAAGGCACTGCTACGTGAACGTAAAGCAATACTTTTTTTGCAGGCTATTTGGCTCATACTTGAAAAATCGACTTGCTGCGCAAACTCGGTCTCCCCTTTCCTTCAAGTTTGTGCAGCAAGTCGATTTTTCACGTATTACAGCCCTGAAAATGCGCTCAGTATAGTTGGCTAGTACTTGTACTCTCTATCTTGCAAACGTCTGAACATAACTTGGTGGTCTTAAAACCGCTAACTGAAAGTGCAGCTAATATTGGCACTATACACTTATAAGCGGGATGCTAGGAAACGTCCGGATAACTGCATTTGAACAAGATGGACTTCACCCACGCTTTCCGTACTGCTGTTGTGCTTGTTGTAATGACCACTGGTAACTTACCATAAATAGAAATCTACCATCGACGAGATACGTTCTTACACCCGAACGCCTACTTCGCATTCATGCATTTTGCGTGTGCGTGCGTGGAAAACTTTACTTAAAGGCTCTCATAAAGGTCTTAGTATGTACCCATAGTGCACAAACACTGACTTAAGATTGCGGCAGTAGACAAGTTCTTTTAAAAACATGACGTGCACCAAGCAGTCCTTGTGATTTTCTACAGTGCTACCAAACTTCTCGAGGGAGTTTCTAAACACACCTTACCCATCCCAAGCTCTTTATCTCAAGCAGGGTAAATATTTACCGTTATTGTGGTTTACGGGAGCCTTAACTGCATTAATGGCACCAAGATGAGCGTTAAAAATTTTCGCAGCAAAACTTCAAAAGGCTTTTTTCAACAACTAATATTTTTTTAGGCTGCAATCAAACACAGTATGTTCTCTACCTCTTCAATCTCTCAATCCTCTCTATTCAACCTCTCGATTTGGCTCATCTGATCCTAATGTAGCCATCATATGAGCATGTGCATCTGTCGACAGTTTTTTTTCTTTTTAACAGAGAAGTTTGAATTAATATAAAGTTCTAATCACATGCTTTTATGCAGGCTTAAAAAGACCGACATACCTCAAGTTGTTGACTCAATCAAAGTTGTGTGCCCAAAGGTAAACCTCTATAATTAGCTTGCCCTAAAGGAGTAAACTAGTGATCTTTTTGTATAGGCATTGCAATGTCTTTGTTGCTGAACCACTGCATTGAGCACTAATGGATCTTTCGCGCTCATTGACCTGTGAATTTTAATCAATAGTCAAATGTTTGAAGCATTTGTGCACTTGGATACACTTTTTTTTACTTTTATAAATCAGTTACCTTTTCATTCACACATTACCACTAACTTTCCTGAACCTTACGCCACAGCCTGCCATGTGATGTACTTAATTTATTAAACTCAGTATTTAATGACGGTCATTGTTTAGTTTGACAATTTAATATACAAACTACTTTTTATATCATTAAAATTACTTAATATGCCAGTCAACAACTAATGTGGGACCAAATGCTGAGGAAGAAACTACAATGTGTCATACAACTCAATGCAAAAACCTCACCTGAGGCATAGCTCTCTTCCTTCATATCAGTAAAATTACATAGCAGAAAGTATGCAGGCTACAGCTGCATGGGAAACTTTCAAGTATCCCCTGTACACTATGCTGAAAATACAGTCTGGCATCCAATGGAGTATACTGCATCCAACAGAGTTGTATTCTACATGAGCGGTGTGTTAGCTGTATCAAGGTTCATTATAAGTATTTATTTGTTACTTGCATTAACGGGGCCCTACAACACTTTTGAAGTAATGATTAAATGGCTTTATTCAAGCAGATTATTGCCTCACAATCCAACTCCTTCAGAAATTTTTGGAATCCATCAAGTACAAAGTCACAGGCATTTGACGCCCATTTTAAGTGCCTTCTATCTTCTTGCCAGCAAGTGCACTTGAAAGCTACACGAAAAGGGGGTGTGACGAGAGGCGAAAAGATGCAATGCTCTGTTTGTGAGGTTGTGAGCATCATTACCTTATGCATTTTCTCTCTTTTTTTTTAATTGAATGTGCAGCTTACTTTCAGTGTTGTGGGCATGTGGCAACATCGCATAACCATAATAACTAAGCAGTTCACTATTTTCATATCAGCCAATAGCTGTGAACTTTGGGTACATTTTGTTTATTGCATGGTCATATGGGTTTATGGCCTTATTCCTTGAGAAAAAAAGCAAACGATTGTTAGCCGGCTTTGAATAATAATTGTAAATACCAGGCCACACGCTGCACTTTAGTGTTTGGCTTACGTATTCTCTGGGGCCTCGATTACCGAAAGACGGCATTTTCTTTCCGCGCTAAAAGAGTGTTGCAGGGCCCCTTTAAGGTTTAGTCCATTATGTCGGGTAATTTATTCGATATAGTAAATGATTGTATCAACATTCGATTGTAACATCCCCAGCCGTGCATCACTTTGCCTATCGCACCAGTGTTAGGAGATGTTGCAATCTGGTATATTGAACAAATTATGTTACCTCGCTTACTTTTATCAACTTTACACTTCGTTATCTTTAGCTCAAGGGCCTAGTTGCGGATTATGCGCTCAAGGAGGACCTTCCAGTGTCGGAGTGGCCTTATGCTGTGCCCAATAACACGTTTGATGTCGGAGTGGTGGTGTCATTTGGCCACTTGATTCCTGCCAGCAGCATCCATGCTTGTAAATAGTGAGTGCCACATCATTATTCATTGAGAATGCGGAGCATATACTGTCAAACATTCGATTTTAATTAAATGCAAGAAATAAAAGCAGTTACTGAATAAGTCTGCAGAGAGCGAGAGTAGTGTAAATCGGAACAGTTATGATGAACAATTTAGCGTTGAACGAGTCACAATTATTGTGCAAAAGCATCATTTTCCTAGTGAACGTGTGGAGCAGAAAACTTTTTTCAATGATTTCCTGTTTGTACAGAGAGCCATCCTATATGCAGATTTGTTCTCTCTGTTTAGGCAAAGTGAATTATGATTTAATCAGGCTTGCCAAATATACATGTGTCACCCATGAAAAACTATCATGCTCATCTATTTCAGTAGAAAATGCCACTCACATGTAGCTTTGATTGTGACGTTAATTTATTTCATTACTGCAATTTATAGCACCCTGGACAAGTGAAAGCAGTTGTTTGGCTCAATAAATCAGACATTCAGTAGCAAACATAATTACGTACACTGTGACGACGCGGGATCAACGAGCATGCAAAGCATGTCGAACAAATAGTACGCTTTATCGATCACAGGACAAAGACTGCAATGTGTTCTTCGCCTCTGCCCTTGGCCAAGGACACTCACGCTGCTTCGTTGTCACCGCCACTGGCACATACGCGCGTCATTATTCCCCCTTTGAAAAAAAAACATCGCCCCGATGTTAAACCTTCAAGAAGCAAGGCAAAACCAAAACTGCACCATTAGTCACTGAAAGTAAGGCTTCATCCGAAGCACATGGACAATCTCTGGTGAATGTTTGCGGCGCTTCGAACACTGAACGCCGTCCGAAACAACCTCGTAGTTGACGTCACTGATGCGTCGCAGAACCTTGTAGGGTCCGAAGTACCTTCACAACAGCTTTTCGGAGAGCCCACGCTGATGAATAGGTGTCCAGACTCACACTTTGTCGCCCACATTGTATGTGACGGTTCTGTGCCGGAGGTTGTAATGTTTGGCATCATCGTCTTGTTGTTTGGTTATTCGCAGCCTGGTAAGTTGTCTGGCTTCCTCTGCTCGCTGGGTAAGCTCTTTGGTGTCTGTCTCGTTAACATCATTTTCATGAGGGAGCATTGCGTCTAACGTCGTAACTTCGCGTCCGTAAAGGAGACTGAAGGGTGTCTTCTGAGTGGTTTCCGGACGAGCTGTGTTGTACGCGAACGTGACATAGGGCAATATGTCGTCCCAGTTCTTGTGCTCTCCATCTACGTACATGCTTATCATGTCAGCCAGGGTCTTGTTGAGACGTTCGGTGAGCCCATTGGTCTGGGGATGATACGCCGTTGTCTGCCTGTGAGCTGTACCACTTAGTCTGAAATGTTGTCCAAAAGCTCGGCCATGAACGCAGTACCTCTGTCGGTGATGACTGTTGCGGGAGCACCGTGTCTTAAAACGATGGCTTCGATGAAAAATTGCGCCGCTTCAGCTGCCGTTGCGGGTGGCAGAGCGCCTCTCTCCGCGTATCGGGTCAGGTAATCTGTGGCGACAATTATTCACCTGTTTCCAGTCGTAGACTTTCCAGTGATTTCCAGTGGTAGACGGAAGGGGCCCATAAAATGTATGTCAATTTGTGCGAACGGTGTCGCCGGCACTCGGACAGGCTGCAGCAGGCCGGCTAGTTTGATGGATGGTAGCTTGCGACGCTGGTAATCTAGACATGCCTGCACGTAAGTTTTGACAACTCCAGCAAGTCTTGGCCAGTAATAGTTTTGCCTTATCCTCGCCAATGTTCTTGCGTAACCCAAGTGACCAGCGGTAGCTTCGTCGTGGCATGCTTGCAGTACCTCACGGCGAAGCAAAGAAGGAATGACGAGCAATGAGCTGCTGCCGGCGGGTAAAAAGTTCTTCTTATAAAGAACGTCATTCCACAAGCAGTACGACGGCAGCCTTCTCGAAAATAACTTCGGCACGCTATTCGTTCGCCCTTGTAGGTAATTTATGAGTGGTAGTATTTCAGGGTCGTCGCGCTGCTGTTGAGAAAAGGCGGCAGTGTGCACAATTCCCAAAAAGGCCGTGTCATCGTCCTCATCCGGCGATGCCGTCCCAACAGGAGATCGAGAATGACAGTCAGCATCGGTATGTCGTTTTCCCGACTTGTAGTTAACAGTGATGTCAAATTCTTGGAGCCGAAGACTCCAGCGTGCAAGACGGCCGATGGATCTTTCAAGTTGATTAACCAACAGAGCCAGTAGTGATCGCTAATAATGGTGAATGGGCAGCCGTACAGATAAGGATGAAATTTCAGGACTGCCCACACCATTGCAAGACATTCTTTCTCCGTCATAGTATAGTTAGCTTCTGACCGGGACAGCGTCATGCTGGCGTAGGCAATCATCTTTTCTATGTTGTCCTTCGACTGTAGGAGCACTGCTCCAAGACCCACATTACTAGCGCCTGTATGTAGTATTGTTGGCGCATCTTCATCGAAGAGGGCGAGCACGGACGGTGTTTGCATGCGCTGACGAAGCTCGTGAAATGCCTGCTGCTGGTCTTCACCTCATGTGAAGGGGATATCTTCTCGAGTAAGCTGTGTCAATGGCCATGCCAATAAAATATAAAATATTGGCAATAAACTGCCGGTAATAGGCACAAAGCCCAAAAAACGTCGCACTGATTTTTTGTCTGATGGTGTTGGGAAATTCGCCACGGCGGCAATTTTATCCGGGTCGGGTCGGATCCCTTGGCTGCTTACGGCATGACCAAGGAATTGAAGTTCATGGAAGCCGAAGTGGCCTTTTTCGGGTTTTAGAGTAAGAGTGGCCAAGCGTATCACTTCAAAAACTGCTTCAAGCCTTCATAAGTGTTGCTCGAAAGTCGCCGAAAAGACAATCACGTCATCGAGGTACACCAAGCAGGTCTGTCACTTAAGTCCCGAGAGAACCGTGCCCATCAGACGCTGGAATGTTGCTGGCACCGAACACAAACCGAAAGGAAGTACCTAAAATTCATAAAGTCCATCGGGCATAACAAAGGCGCTCTTCTCGCGATCTCTCTCATCCTCTTCAATTTGCCAGTAGCCGCTTTTCAAGTCCATGAACGAAAAGTAGCGTGCATTTCGTAGTCTATCCAATGAATCATCAATACGCGGCAGAGGATAGACGTCTTTCTTTGTGATCTGATTTAGCTTCCGGTAGTCGACGCAGAATTGCAAGCTGCCGTCCTTTTTTTTTTGACGAGTACTACTGGTGATGCCCAAGGACTGTTAGGTGGCTGAATAATACCATCTTCCAGCATTCTTTCCACCTGTTTTTGACTTGCTTCACGCTCTTTTGGGGCGGCGCGATAAGGATTTTGCCGGATGGGTCTGGCGTCGGAACCCGTGATGATGCGGTGCTTCATCAGTGCTGTTTGACCAACTCCTTATGTGGATGAGAAGCAGCTGTGGAACTTGTTGATCAGCGTCTCGCTCAATGGGAGATAATGTTGGACTAACGTCCACAGATGTCGGTGTAGTGATAGTAGACGCTGCTGCTTCCTCCACACTAAATGACAATCTTCTATTTGAGCGACTTCGTTGAAATAGGCAATATCCGTGCCTTTAACTATGTGTCGGCGCTCTCTGCTGAAATTTGTCAACAAGAGTTCAGCGCATCCGTCAATAACAGTGGCGACAGCCCTGGCAATAGAAATGCAGCTAGTGAATATGAGCCCTTTGATGTTTTCAGCGATGCCAGTACCATGTTGTAAGATGTCGCAGTGCACGGATATGAGGGAGCAACTTCCTGGCGGCAGTATGACGTCGTCATCGGCAATACGGAAGCGAGGTGGCTGGTGTTCCTCATCAGTAGCAGTGTGCAAGCTTACAGCGAACGTTACGCTTCTGTCCCGGAGGTCAATCACAGCACCGTATTCACGCAAAAAATTCATTCCCAATATGAGCTGCTTACAGCACCCGTGAAGAATGACGAGGGTGGCGACAAAGGTGGAACCAGCGATGAAAATTCGGGCCGTGCACTTTCCAACCGGTGTCATCAACTGACCTCCTGCAGTTCTTATATTGAATCCGTGCCATGGCATCTTCACCTTTCTTAGTCTTTTGGCTAGCTGTAGGGTTATTATAGAAAAGTGGGAGCCAGTGTCCACAAGAGCCGTCACTTGGTGGCCGTCAATGTGATTGACGAGGTCAGTGCTGATAACGTCGGTTACGTCGGCAGTTGTCTCATTCGTCGGATTAGTCGTTGCTGTCGTCTTCTTCAGCATCGGTGGCTTCGAGCTGTCATTTGTCTGCAATGGGGGCTGTTCGAAATTTCGATTATTGGCAACCCCCCCCCCCCCCCCCAGGTCGCTGCGTCTAGTTTCCCCGTCGCGGGCTAGGGGACCTGCCCCTAGAGACGTCGGCAAAACTGCTACGATTAGGTGAACTGGCCCGCACAGGAGATGGAGAACGTGATCTGGGCATTACTGGATTTTACGGCGGTGTGTTCACAGAAGCGTCGTTGTACATGCGTCGATCGTCGTACGCAGCGTAATGTCTCGAGTACTGAGCGTCCCGATAACGGCAAACTCTGTAGACGTGCCCAGCTTCGCCACAACGAAAGCATACCAATCGGAGGTCAGCGGTACGCCACAGTTCGGTTTTCCGACGCTGGTATGTAAACGGAGACTCACTGCTGGGCCACGTTGTGGGGCATGTTGGCTATACGGCATTCGTCTTTCCGGAGAAATCGGTGGATTGGGAAAGTTGTCGGCGCTGGGAGCGGCTGTGTTTGCTAGGTTGGTGGTGGTCCAGTCATTGGAGTTCGCTGTGCCGAAGGCACGACGACAGGGCGTCGGACTGCATCAACATAAGTAAGATGTCGTCGCACATCACCATAGCCGAATGAAGAGAGCGCCTGACGAACCTCATCCCGGACAACATCGGCGACAAAAGACAATGCCGGCGTCGGTTCGGTTGCTGGAATTAAACCAAGCTGCCGAAGTTCCTCCCTCAAAATCTCTTGGATGACTTCCCGCAGAGGCCTGTCGT